TATATATATGTTATGTTAACAAAATATACGGAGCATTTTTGAAGCGTTTGTCGCGAATGTGCGACATTGACAACAAGCCCATAAACAAGCTCGTAAAAATGCCCCCAAGTGCAGAAAAGAAGAAAGTAAACTTATCAACGAATACGAAATACCCTAACTTTATATTGAAAGTGGAATATACAAAGCAATTAGATGTCATCAAATGATCTTGAGCACCAAGAACCCATTTCTGACGGTTCCCTAGTATGAGAGCTATCTGATATAATGCTCCCAGGCAAACGAATTCGACATATATTCAGTGAGGAGCCATAAAAAGCAACTGTGGCAAGTTACATGAAGATAGCTTCGATGGAAGCCGAGTTAACATAGTTAGCTATATGATATAATGATGCATTTCAAGCAGTCTTAACAGTTTTGGTAGCTGCAACTCATATCAGAATCTATACAAAGTTTCATGGAGATAGCTTCACTGGAAGCCGAGTTAAGAAAGTAAGGTATACGATATAATGATGGCATACAATCAGTTTCGACATATTTACAATCGGGAGCCAAAAGAAGCATATGTGGCAAGTTTCATGGAGATAGCTTCACTGGAAGCCGAGTTAAGATAGTAAGGCATATGATATAATGATGGTATACAATCAGTTTCGACATATTTACAATCGGGAGCCGAAAGAAACATCTGTAGCAAGTTTCATGAAGATAGGTTTACTGGAAGCCGAGTTAAGATAGTTAGCTGAGTGTTTGAATTAATCTAACCGAACTGTTGCAACTCTGATGCACTCTTTAACATGATCATATATATAATATCTATCCCTAGTTGGCGTTACATATTGGGCGAGCAAATCGATATACCCTTTATGAACAAGTCTGGAACACTTTACGAAATCAAGTAAAAACCTCACGCCGCACAGCGATAAATTTGCGCAGCAGCTCCACTTATCCAACTTATCCCAGCAGCTCCTTGGAGCGTAACGTGGCGCACGCGCCGTCCCCTGCTCCCCTCTCCCCTCTCTACTTTACTCCTCGCAACCCAAACGTTGCTCAGGAATTTTGCGCAGGCGAACGGCAGCTGTAGCCCAAAAAAGGGCAGCGACTTTTTGCCAGTAGGCGGCACACAGAGGCGGCCGGGCAGCTTGGCGGGTAGGCGGGCGCAACGGGTTCTCGGTTCTCGTTTCCCAGTTGCCAGTTCGCCAAGTTCTCCAATCAGATGCGGCGGCTCTGCGACTGAGACTGCGGCTTTGGCTCGGTTCCCACCACAGATGAGCGCCTGCCAAGGCTAATGGGTAAGTGCAGGGCAAAGGCAGCTGCCGCAGGAGACCATATAAGCTACTGAACACCCTGTAATTTAGTCTGAATCATGCGTTTCATATATACAATTATTTTCGTTTGTATGGAGCGCCTCTCTATGCGCTTCTCAACATATTGATTACTTAAAAATCTTCTGTTTCCTATTTACCAATATTCTCAAATCTACAGTACGCCTCTCTATGCGCTTCTCAACTTGAAAATGGCTTAAGATAATGTGTAGCTAACTTATGATTTTTCTCGAACCTATTGTGAGCCTCTCTATGCGCTTCTCAACATGATAATTACTTAAAATCTTGAGTCTCTTATATTAAATAATGTTCAAGTCTACATTACGCCTCTATATGCGCTGCTCAGCATTATAATGTGTTGATATCTTGCGTTCCTTATTTATAATTTTTCTCAAATCTACATTGCGCCTTACTATGCGATTCTCAATATGATAATTACTCAGAATATTATGTGTCTTATTTATAACTTTTTCGAATTTACAGTGCGCCTCTCTATGCGCTTCTCAACACGATTAAGGTGATACATATGGAGTATCAAGTTACAGATCTAGTTCGAATCAGAATTCTTTAATTCTCCTTTCACTATAAACCGAATCAATAGCCCAATTTCATTTCAAATGGGATAAGCTCGACGAATCAAGATGCAAAACAAAGTCTCGGTTCATAAATGTGGAAAAGCAGCTTAAACGGAAGCCAAAGGGGCTAGAGGCCTCTTCTTTTTTTTTGGATGGAATTGCGTGCCACAGAAGCTGCGCATCTCACAGTCCCCACACAGCCCCCCTCAGCTTCCCCTCCCCCACTCACTGAATAGGTTCAATGTCAAGTTCGTGTGCACCAATTGTTATTATTCAGCTTCGCAGTGTGAGCTCATCGGCCAAAGGCATAGCCCGGAGTTGGAATTTTGTGGATTTTTATGGAGCAATGCGACGGCCACGCCCCAAAAAAAAAGAAGGTGACGCCATAGGCGCCAAAAGATTTGAAGGGAGTTGCTTTTGCTTTTGTTTTATTTGACAATTGTTGTTTGTTAAGTGGCGGCAAAGCAAGATGTTAATCTCGCCGTCAAGGACAATCGCACACAGACATGCCTGACCTGCGACCCGCATGTGTGTGTGTGTGTGTGTGTGTGAGTCACACTTATGACGTGACTCAACGCAAGCCCAAAAAATTAATAAGAAAAGTTATTTGAAATTGGGGCGCAGAGCTAAGTTCAGTCAAGCAGCAAAAGAAGCAAAACAAGAGTGCTCTAGTCGGGAGTGCCTGACTAGAAGATACCCTGCAAGGTCTTATCTCAGCCCCCCACACTTGGTATGGGCAATGCAAGCTCGCCCAATCTCGGTCCGAACCAATCTTTTTACAAACTCTTGGGAGGAACGTATTCGAACTCAATTAAAACAAGCTTTAAAATCGGATGGGAGTCCAGCTTTAAGTGAAGGTAAACTGTTAAAAATTAATCATATAAGAGCCAACCTCTGTTAAGTTTTTGAATGTACCGTTATATAAATCTATATATATATTTTGCTGCCATTTTCTCTGGTTTTTATTTGAAGTCCAAATTGTTAGCCCTGTAAGAACACACACACACACACATGCACACAAACGCACACACATGCACACAAACGCACACACATGCCCAACCACCCACACATGCTTGCGGCTATGTTAATAACAGCGCCTAACTGTCATGTTCTGTGCGTGGGCAGCGCTGCCGACAATCTGGCAACATCAGCATAAAATATTCGCAAGATAAAAAAAAATAGAAAAGACGCAAGATTTGATCAAACTTGCATGTTTTGCCATTTGCCGCTTATCATAAGCTCGCATTTGCTCTCCCCCTCCCGCTCTTGCTCTGCCTCACTCTCACTCTCTCTCTCTCTCTCTGGCGCGCTTCGTTAAGTTGAGCACCGTTAGAAACCGTTTTGCAGCGCACGCTTTGTTGTCATTTGTTGTTGCTGTTGTTTTTGTTCTTCTTTTTTTTTCATTGTGTTTCTTTTCTGTGTTTTTTTGCTGGTTGCAAAAAGAACAACAAAAACGTGCGACTGCCGCATTTAGTTAAATTAACATGCTTTAAACTAATTAAACACGCATAGCCGCATAAAATAGCAGCGCTTATCTCAGTTATTAGCAACAATATATTTGGCGACGCCTACGCCAGCAGCGGCAGCGGCAGAACCCACAGGAGCAGCCGGCTGCTGCACAAACACAAACACAACACACGCACACATACACACGGCTGTTTTTATTGATTTTTCGCACACACACGCACACACACCACAACAAACTTCAAAAAAAAAAACGGAGTTGGCAAAATGCGTATTAGAAAAAGCATTAGGTAAATGTGCAAAAAAAACAACAACAACATTGTTGTTCTTGTTGTTGTTGCCCAAAAACACTTACTGCACTTCCTCTCCCGCTCTCTCTCTCTCCCTCTCTTCCCGCTCGCACTCGCCACTCTCGCTCCGCTTTGGTCGTGACTCCTGCGCTCGCCTCCTGTTTACAGCTGCACACGAATTTTTTTTTGTTTTTTTTTTTTTTTTGTTTTAGTACACACCCTTTTTAGGGCACACCAAATAGAACATTCAACAAAAAAATAGAACAAAAAACGAAAACATATATTGCTTTATTGATATTTATGCACTTTATTTATATTTGTTGTTTGCATTTAATGCTTTTCATATTAGGCACGCGCGCAATTCGATTCGAAACAAAAATTCGCAAGACGCGCTCAACCCGGCGCACACACACGACCGCATTCAACGAGTTGTTAATTGGAAATAACATTGATGTAACAGCTGTTAATGCGCTTGAGTCCTGGTTTCGTGCGCCAATAGGTTGGCATTAAGTTGGCTGCACGCAACACGTTGCTCAACGCACAAATGCCAATGTAAACTTTACGTCACGTGCTCACATCTAACGAAATATGTTAGCAATTGGTTGAAAACTATTCGCCAAGAGGAAAATGCTAACGTATTCATGTGATATAATGATGACACGCTAATAACGAGTAAACTCTAAGACTCACTCACATAACATAAACAAGACCAAGTATTTATATGCTCAGGACATTTTTGAAATAAGGCAATTTTATTAGATTAATTTTAAATTGCGCGCTTGTTCTTACGTATTTATTCAATGTAATGTCAACGTAACAGGAACATAGCAAACGTAAGCAACGCAAACGCAAAACTGAGCAACGCAAACTCAAATTACGCAACGTAAGCGTTCGAATTAAAACAACTAAGGGCAATGCAAAAACCCTAAGAAAGCACATGCACATTAAAATAAAAAAAAAAAAACAAAAAATACACGAAATTGTTGTACATATTAGCACAATTAGATATTGAATAATATCAGTAACGCTGGCACTTTTTTGTTCAATATTAAATTTATTATAACAAAACGGTTGATATCGATATTTTTAGTATTTTTGAAAATCTTACGTTATTTTCGTACTGATCTGATTTCATATACCAATTGACTGACTATACTTAAATATTAATCAAAAAATAAATTTTTCAAAATATACTTTCGTCAACTCTTTGAATCATAGATATATAACCAAAAATAGTATCGATATATCGCCGCAAAAAATACCACGATAAAATACCTAATTTTTTTGGCAAAAATATCGATAGCTTGATACATTCTCGACAGCCCTAGTGCATATATAAATGTCAACAAAGCTAGTATACGTAGGCGAAGATTGTATACATTAAAACAAGTGTGTAGATAAAACGACAATAAACCAACTTGGTTAATAAGAAAACATGTTGTGTACCATGAAAAAAGTGGCGACGTTTTGCCTCTGAGCATGTAAAATCGAAAAAGCAGCGCACCGAAAAATTTACGAGTGCGCTTCAATATACGCCATAAATATTTATAGCAAGTGCATATTTGTTTTGTTTAATTTCAGCTGGCGAGAAAAAAAGAAACAAAATACAAGTAGCTGTAAAGTAAGCGAAAACGAAAACGTTTGCTGACGTGCTGTGTAAGTTAACAATGATTTATTGGCCAGAATTATACACAAAAATATTTGGGCAGCAGGCAGGCAACTGTTATACGGCAGCGCTCTTATACACAACAAAAACTGTAGCAAAGAATTATAAAAAGCGGCTCTGATTTCCAAGAACTCTCTGCACGCATGTGTGTGTGTGTGTGTGTGTGCGTGTGCATATTAAACAGGTTTTCATACAATTTTATTTGATGCTTTGTTGTTTTTATTTTTTGCGCAGCCTTTGCTGCGCTTTGTCCACATGCAGCACAAGTGTGCGTGTGTGTGTGTGTGTGTGTGTGTGTAGAAGTGTGCATATTCCGGCCCTGAAGGTCAGCGCTGCTTTCTCCCGTTGTTTTTGGCTGCTGTGCAAACATAATTACGGTTCTCTTTCTTTTTTATGGCCACTTGAAAAAAAAACCAAAGTAATTAACTTTAACATTTTGCGCAAATGTGAATGCACTCACACGTACACACACACACACACACACACAGGGCAACGCTGTTGTTGTAGTTGTACGCGGTACGCAGGTAACTTTAACCTTACCCTTAGGGGCGTGTGCCAGCTGCCCGCTGTCCATTGTCCCCTGATTTCATCCACCCACACACACACACACTCACACGCACACGCACGCATTTTGCATTCAAACAGCGCCGCGGGCGGTATTTACATAAATGCGCAATTGAAACTCTTGCAAAATGCTGGGATGACACTTTCTCAATGCAAGTGCGAGTGCGAGTGAGAGAGTGAGCAATGAGCGTATCCATTAAAGATCTGATCTGATCTGCCGCCATGCATTGATATGCTCTCAATGAGCTGCTGCGATATATCGATAGCTACAATTATCGATGCAAATGTGAACAATTGAATTTTAGATGCTTTGGATAAATTGAATTTGTCTAGCGCCGCCCTCTGCTACAGATACAACAGGCTGCAGCCTGCAGCAGCCGACGCCCATACGCGCTGCTCTCGCTCTCTCACTCTCTTACTCTCTCTCTGCCTCCCACTTTTCACGCACTGAAACTTCAAATGCCGCAGTTTGTTTTTGCGCCCAACGCCCCGCACCGCGCCCGCTGCTCTAGCCACATCGTTCTTGGCACAGTGTGCAACGCGCACAGTCGGATTAACGTTAACGTTCGTTTTGGCTGCGAGAGATAAACATAAACGGTTAACGAAAGAACGGGAGAACGAGAGAGAGAGAGCAAGTGCCTGACAGTCGCCAGTTCTCAACGCGCTGCCGTTGTGTGCGGACGTGTGTGCGCGCATAGAATAACAGAGTAGAAGTAGAAGGAGGGAAATTTGTTCAAAATAAAACACGGTGCGATTAATATGAAATCTTTCGAATAGTGCAATATTTTTGTCTTTTTTTTGTCTATTGTTTTTGCCTGTTGCACAAGTCGCAAGTGTGAAAAAGTGTTTAATAATTACAATTATTATTGCAGTGCGTGCGCTGCGAGATTCGTTGTTGTTGTTGTTATAGCCGTAAACAGAGAGAGTGAGAGAGAGGGAGAGAGAGAGAGAGACAGCAACACGACATGGAGGATCGCATGATGGCCCACACCGGCGGCATGATGGCACCACAGGGCTACGGCCTGCCCGGCCAGGACGATGGCCAAAATGCTGGCAACGAGAACGAGGTGCGCAAGCAGAAGGACATCGGCGAAATACTTCAACAGATCATGAGCATTTCGGAGCAATCCCTGGACGAGGCCCAGGCCAGGAAGCATACGCTCAACTGTCATCGCATGAAGCCGGCCCTGTTCTCTGTTCTGTGCGAGATCAAGGAGAAGACCGGTGAGTACCAAAAAGAAGAATACCCAGGGAGAGAGAGAGAGAGAGAGAGAGAGAGAGAGAGAGAGAGAGAGAGAGAGAGAGAGAGAGAGAGAGAGAGAGAGAGACAAAGTCAGGCTTCGGCACGTCGAAGTTTGAATACTCTTTCGGTAGTCCATAGAGATTAGGATTTGGTTATGGGTGCAGCTGGTCAAGGAAAACTTGCATTCAAATATTTATAAGGAAAACCCCAAAAAGTCGCATAGCTAAACCCATTTGAAGAATATGATATATTGGTACAGTCCAATCAAATCTTATGTATAATATCTGTAAAAAAAAAAGTCAAAACTCTTCCAAGTTTCGACAAGTTAGCTTCATAGTTGAGACAATATGGACTCACCTATTGAAGTCAATCGGGTATATAGTATCGTATAGTAGAGTATAGTATAGTATATCGTATAGAACAGTAATATATTTACTTTAGTATAGTACAGCTGAATTTCTAAAGAAAATGGATTATAAGCTTTTTCGACATCTACTCTTGCAGCTTTATGTTCTTCTTTCGTAATGAAATTGGAGTTTGAATACAAAAAACAATTAATCGCATGCAAACAGAAATTCTTGGAATTTGCCGCAAACACTTGGCAAGTCAATATAAGCGCACGTTTTCTTTAATAACTTCTATGTTTCTCAACCGATCTTGATGAAATTTTTAGCAGTCGATTTTATTGTGCTATAGAATATGCGTATATATATAGCAATTATTAATTGATATATATGGTGGGGCTGGCGTTAGCTATTAAATTGAAGATACTTGAAACAATTTTAGATGCCAAATGTCAAATTTGGTTGCTCTTGCTGTTAAAACCGATGAGATTTGCTTAAGAAACAGATTTTCGATATCGATTTCTTAAAGATCATTGACAGACGCAGAATATATATACTTAATCGGGTCGAATAATGCTTCCTTCCGCCTGTTGCATACATTTGTTGTTTAGATTTCTTTCAAATTATTAGATTTCGATATTTTCCTAAGGTAGCTGTTCGTTGGGAATGTCCCTAGAGTAGTTTATTAGGCTTTACCTTTAGCTTGAATTAAATAATAAGCTGAGATTCGAACCGGCTTTCCGCCTTATACAAATGCCTCTGCGCGGGATTCTATGGAATCTCTAATAGAAAACAAAAAAAGGAAATTTATAAAGGGTGTTCCCACAAGTCTCAAATGAGCTCTACCTTTAGCTGAAATAAAGCAACAACAATTCTGGGATTCGAACCGGGGTTCTGCTTTCTCTTGAATGTCTGAAGGATTAGAATAATTAAACCTATTGAGAATTTCAAAGCGACTTTTTCTTCAATTGAAGAGCTGCATCTTTGGCTTAAGTAAAGCAACAACAGTTGCTGGATTCGAACCTTAGTTCGAACCTGCAAAAGATTCTACTTCAAGCAAGAAAATAGAAACAGAAATTCAGTGTGATTTTTTGCCGCTGCCAGCTCTTTAAATTCCTGCACATTTACTCGTTATTATACTTGTCGTGCATTTCCAAACGTGTTTTCCTTGAATTTTTCCCATTCTTATTCTTGTTCTTTCTCTTCTTCTTCATTTTGGCTTGATATTACGCCCACGCAGCGACACAAAATGGGCAATAACAGCGCGTTTTGATTGTGGGCCAGATGTTTGGAATGGCCCCAACGTTGCCATTGCCTAACCCTAAAGTACAGCACCCCCCACCCCACCCACACACCCCCTCGGCTCTTTGCAACCCCCGTCCAGCTATAAGGGAGCAGGCCGCGCCCCCAACTCCAGCCCCCCTTCCCTGACAACAAAAAAAGGCGCACCGCTGCGAAATTGCCTTTTGGACAGCGTCTTGGCCCTTTTCGGCTGGCTTTTCTTTTGTTTTTGTTGTCGTCGAAGCGCGCACTGAAAAACCCTGGAAAATACACTTGTTTCTTTTTCAATGTCTACCGCAGATTAAGTTTCCATAGTTCGAAAACTTGATGGGCTTTTCTTTCAACTATTTAGATTTATGTGACATAATATAGAAGATAGTCTCGAGGTTGTATATATATATACTTTATGGGCTCGTAGAGCTCTTCTTCCATGACATGAAATTGTAATACCCTCTGGGAATTGTAATACCCTCTACAAACACGCTCAACAAGTTTTATAGAAAGCAAAGGAAAACGAAAAGTTGATAACTCTTCGACTAAATAAATGCATTTATAAAAGTCATCAGCCCAAGCTACCCGACTCCAATCAACTATTTTCTAATTACAGGGTATACGGAAAATGTTGTTTCGAAGTTATTTTTAATGTTATTTCTCGTTGGAACTTGAGAAAGGTTCGCACACTCTGCTCACACACTTTTCATATGGGCCTTCGATCAGGTGACAAAAGCAAAAGGGGCGTGGCGAGCATGAAGGGGGGCGGGGGAGTTTGAATTGCGCGTGGGGCAGCTTTGTGAACTATCGAATGCGGCCCTAGATCCCGGCCAAGTGCCGCACAAGGTGAAATCAAATCGCTTGAAAATATTTTGTGTATATACATAATTTTATCAAGCCGTGTGTGTGTGTGTGTGTGTGTGTGCGTGTGTACAAAGCGATAACACTTGCAGGGCGCCGCGTATCGATGGCGGGCGTCGACAAAGTAAACAAGAATAAAACTTGCCGAGAAGACAAAAAAAAAGAAGAGAAACACTTGACCCAAGCCCCAAGTGGAACGGCGGGGAGCAGCTACCGAGGGGGGGGGGGGGGGGGGGGCGGGTAGGTGACCGAAACGAGTATTTTAAAAATAAAACAAAAAAAAACAGATCAAAATAACATACAAGTCCGAACATGAAAATACCCTGGCACCAAAGTCGGACAAAAAAATTTATATATTTTCAATAATTTTGCTTCAAAAGCAAAAGCAATTGTTGTGGAAATTCGAGTCGTGCCCATGCTAAGATAATTCCTGGCGAAGTACTCAGAATAGAAACTTAAACCTTATATATATCTTATGGAAAGACAACTGGACGCGCCACAACACAATCTTGAATAGATGTAATACCATGTGATAAAGTATTCGAAGAACTTAGGAACTTCAAAAAGTCTGCGCTTTTAATATCTTTAGACTATAATATTCATAAAATAGTCAAGTATACGCTGGAATTTTCAAAGATAGCTTTACGAAATACTAATCCAATCGGGCATATCAATGCTCCTCCGACTGCCAAGATTCCTACAGTTAACTGCATTCAGAGCCGATATGATATCGTAAACCTATCCAACTGGGCCTCACTTAATCTTCTTCTAGAGCATTCAAAAACGTCTATACCAAGTTTCATAAAGAAAGCTCAAATGGCAGCCGAGTTCTTTGAGGTAGCTATATGATATCGTGAACCTATCCAACTAGTTCCAAGTTATGTTCTTGCTGCAGCATTAAAAAGAATCTATACCAAGTTTCCCAGAGCTAGCTTCATTGGGAGCCGAGTTCACATAGCTTTATGATAGGAAGATCGTATCCAACCAGTTCCAACTTATGCACATTCATAGAACAAAAAGACGCTTCAGTACCAAGTTTCATACAGCTAGCGCAAATGGCAGCCGAGTTCTTTGAGGTAGCTATATGATATCGTAAAGCTATCCAACTGGTTTTCACTTGAACACTTTCGAGAGCTTTAAGAAGAGTGTGTACCAAGTTTCCTACAGATAGTTTCAATAGGAGCCGAGTTCAGGTAGGTCAGCATATGATATATGATATATGATATCCAGCAATAAGAATAAGAAGCATCTGTATCAATATTCAATAAGCTAGCTCAAATGGAAGCCGATTTCAAAAATATGATATATTAACCTGGTTCCAACTAATGTGCTCGCTGAGAAAAGAAGAAGCGTCTGTACCAGGTTTCCTTCATGGAGACCCGAGTTCAGATAGATCAGATATGATATTAACCGATTTCCCGAAAATATGAAAGGGTATTCAAAAAAAGGTTCACAATTGGATTTTGAAGCTCTTCACAGTTTGCCTTGTTTAACATATTTTATCAGCTTGTCTGCGTTTGTATAACTGTGTGTGCGTGTGTGTGTGCGTGTTTCTGTGTGTGTGTGTGCTCGTCTTGAAATTAGTTTGTGAAAAGCGCAAACCTGTTCGACAGGCATGCAAAATACCACGCACACGTATTTTGCGACTCGCGACGAGTCGGATGCGTGTATATATACATATAGATACGTATAGATATATATATATATATATATATATATATATATATATATATATATATATGTGTGTGTGTGTGTAGCTATATATACTTGTAACTGACAGATAGCCGAGAAGAGCCCGGCATGTTTATTACACGTAAGGCAGGCAATCGGCACCTCCTTCTGCGCTGCGCGTTGTCCTTTTTTGCTTTTTGGCCCATTCAAATTTACGAGCTGGAAATGCCATTTAGACACCCCCTCCCCCTCCACCTCCCCTCCCTCCCTCCACTCAACCCCTCCAGTTGGTATCCATCCGACAATTTGGCTGGCTGCTTTTAAATGCTTCATTAGATACGCAAATGATACGCATCCTGCCAGACACGCCTACCCCCCTTCCCCACCGCCTCCTAAGACGCCAAACAAAAGGATTGTCATTTCGAGAAGCTGTAGGATCTCAGGAACCTAACTTCATAGATTGCATATATGCTAAGCATAGAGTTAAATTTGTTGCTTTAATTCGGTTTCAGTTGAAGGCAAATCAATATTAGATATAAAATTCTTAAAACTGAAAGCAGATGCAAAGTCTTCAAATAACTGACTGCGCATGCAATATTTTCTAGAACTTAGAGTTGAATTATAATTTGATGGGATTTAAGAAACTGCATACCAAATTTCGTAAGTCTAGCTCTTGAAGTTCTCGAGCTCTTTCAGTTTAGCTGGAATAGAAACAAATTTCGGCAACATTTCTATAGAAAGGGCAGCTCGATGGTTTCTTAAAGCGAAAGTCTTTTAGCACAATTAGTGAATGCGTCTTTCTAGAACTTAAACCCCTAGAAATGGGGTTTCAATAAACTTATAGATACTTTTCTTTGGGCTGGAAATGTTTAAGATACTTTTAGAGACTTGGGTTTCAATGGACTTGTAGATACTTTTCTTTGGGCTGGAAATGCTTTAGATACTTTTATAGACTCGGGTTTCAATGGACTTATAGATACTTTTCTTAGGGCTGGAAATGTTGAAGATACTTTTAGAGACTCGGGTTTCAATGGACTTGTAGATACTTTTCTTTGGGCTGGAAATGCTTTAGATACTTTTATAGACTCGGGTTTCAATGGACTTATAGATACTTTTCTTAGGGCTGGAAATGTTGAAGATACTTTTAGAGACTCGGGTTTCAATGGACTTGTAGATACTTTTCTTTGGGCTGGAAATGCTTTAGATACTTTTATAGACTCGGGTTTCAATGGACTTATAGATACTTTTCTTAGGGCTGGAAATGTTGAAGATACTTTTAGAGACTCGGGTTTCAATGGACTTATAGATACTTTTCTTATGGCTGGAAATGTTTAAGATACTTTTAGAAACTCGGGCTTCAATGGACTTATAGATACTTTTCTTAGGGCTGGAAATGTTTTAGATGCTTTTAGAGACTCGGGTTTCAATGGACTTGTAGATACTTTTCTTTCAGGTTGGAAATCTTTAAGATACTTTTATAGACTCAGTTCCTAACGGGGCTTACGGAGATACTTAACTATATTATCAGCTGCATGTGGTTTTCATTTCGGAAACTATTTCTAAAATGTTAATTGAGCTGTCTTGGATTGAAAACTCTGAGGTTCAATAGAACCCCAACTGCAATCCGAAATTAGGCTGAACCAAAACTCATGCTGATTATGGAAAAGGAAATAGAAAAACTTGGCATACTTGGCTTGGTTTTTTGGTTTCTGGAGAACTTCTCGCCACAAAAAGTTAAAGATTTGTTGTAAATCCTTTAAACATTGATTGATTTACAAGTTGCAGATAAGAACAAATTGTCAAACTTAAATTTAGTTTTTAGTTTTGGGTAATCAGCAGCAAAAAGCGCTGATAGCGGCCAGACCACGCCCCAAAAACTTGGCCCACAGAGAAGACGTCCGCCCGCCCCCCGTTTGAAAGTGTGTCTGGGAAAACTTTGGCAATATTCGGGCTGACCTTTAGCAAATAAACCAACCACCGATGTCGCACGCAAAACACAAACAGCAGCTGTCGCCCAACCAACTCTTGCTGTAATCTTTTAATAACATTACACACACACACACACAGGCAGGCAGGCAGGCGGGCAGACAGCCACGCCCCCAGCCGCCTTTGTTTGGATATTGGAGCAGCTGTCGCCAGTGTCGCAATATGTTTCCTCTTCTCGCCTCGCTCTGGCTACCGGCAGCCATAAATTTAATAGAGAATTTAATAACATGTCCTGTAGAAATGTTAATGTGACGCTGTTAATGTTAATTTAACTGTTAGCACCTGCATTTTGCGCTCAGCCAATGAGCTAATGACATTCTGTGCGTGTCTATCAAGAGACTGACAGCTTTAAAGCTTGTTTTCAAGTTTTTATTTTGATTGAGCTAAGCATCAAAGGTTTGATTGACCGATTGATGGTTAATTGTTAAACTGTTAAAGCTAAAATTCTAACAGCAGTTGCCCAACGTCATAGTTTCTTGTGAATTCCGCCCGTAAGTGTGGAAAATAAGTGGAAAACGATTGCAAAACACTTTTGTTTACCCTCCATTTTGTTATTTGGTTACTTTTTAAGGATCTTTGTCCTGCGAACTGTTTCACATTTTGAACAATATCAGATTTTACTTGCAAAGCTTTCGAGCGCTTCGAGCTTAAACTAACTTAAAGCTTTCCAGTTTAAGCACACTTGAACGCAATTTTCTCTCGCTTTGAAGCTTTCAAGTCGTGATTTGATGTTTTTGTAGCGCCTTTAACGCACCCCAAATTTAGCTCACAGATTTGATCTTTCGAGTTTTTTGTGAAAGTAACATTAAAAGCTTCGAAAGCTCACGGAAACTTTAATATATAGCGACTTAACCTCACTCAGGGAACATTTAAAGCTTCGAAAGCTCATGAAAACTTTAATATATAGCGACTTAACCTCACTCTGGGAAATGTTTTCCTTCCACTCGATTGCACTTAAATGTCAAAGCTTTTCTCCGTTTAGAGCTTTAATCTGTTTGATCATATCTTTTCATAAAGCTTTCAGCTATTGTGATTTATTTAATATACAGCTTAAAGCTTTGAAAACTTGAATATAGTTCGACTTAACCTCACTTTCGGCACTGTTTTTCTCTCGCTCGAGCTTTCGACTTTCGATTTCAGCTTAATCTGAAAGCTTTACTCCGCTTCGAGCTTTTGAACTGTTCGGCTTTATCTTCTGATTAACTGTAAACTATTGTGATTTATTTAAAATTCAGCTTAAAGCTTTGAAAACTTGAACATAGTTCGACTTAACCTCACTCTAGGCCCTGCACTTCACCATTCTTAAGGCGTCTATTCTTATCTTTCGGCAAATGTCATTTGAAACTTTGGCGAAAAACTTTGAAACATTTCGATTCGGAGTTTTGGGAATTTTCGCTGCACAGCGTGAGATTCAAGTCTGGGCCCCCGAAATGTTTTATTCAAGGCAAAAGCCGTTGAAAGGACGAGTTGCGTGCATTTTGGCCAAGTAAGGTGTGTGAGAGGGGGCGGGGTTGGGATTTCATTACTTGTCTTGTGCTTATGCTTATCCAGTTCCTGGCAATTGTTTTCCTTGTCTGCATAATACATAGACGAGGTAGACGAAGAAGCGAAAGGGAAGGGAAGGGAAGGGAAGGGAAGCACAAGGATACGCTCCGGCCATGCTGATGAGCTGAGGAAGCAGCTGCGAAATGTTTCTCAGCTCTGGCTAACTCCTTGGCGAACGTGATTAAGATTCAAGCTGCGGCAAGTGTGGCGCAAAATCCAATTCATGCATAGCCAGGACTTGCGAATAAGCAAAGATAATACACAACAGCAGCACGCATTTCCCTAGACAATATGGCAGCACAGCAGATACGTGAGACTCCCTGTGCGCGCGTGTGTGTGTGTGTGTGTGTGTGTGTAGTGAAAACTTTTGTTATTGTTTTTCGCATAATAATAAAATTTTATGTGCTCCTTGCGCTCAGCCCCAGCCCCAGCCGCAGCTGAACGAATGCAATAAGCGCTGATGGGGCAACGCCGGCTAGGACTGGCAACGCCGTCGCCATTTTGTTATTTTGCAGCAAACTTTAAAGCCATGTTCTTTGCTGATTGTTTTTTTTTTTTGTTGTTGTTGTGTCTTGCAGTGCTCTCCATTCGCAACACGCAGGAGGAGGAGCCGCCAGATCCGCAACTGATGCGCCTGGACAACATGCTGATTGCCGAGGGCGTGGCTGGGCCAGAAAAGGGCGGCGGCGGCGCCGCGGCTGCCTCAGCAGCGGCCGCCAGCCAAGGCGGTTCACTGTCCATCGATGGCGCCGACAATGCCATCGAGCATTCGGATTATCGCGCCAAGCTGGCACAGATCCGACAGATCTATCACCAGGAGCTGGAGAAGTACGAGCAGGCCTGCAATGAGTTTACCACGCACGTCATGAATCTGCTGCGCGAGCAGAGCCGCACCAGGTGAGAGAGCGAGAAAGAGAGAGAGAGAGCGTGTGAGAGTTGCCAGATGATCTATTGAAAACTATCGCAGTACAGGCTACCTTTTGAAATATTACAAGCTTAACGAATGATTAACTAGACGAAATGTAACAATGTGAGAAAGAGAGAGAGAGAGAGAGAGAGAGAGAGGAAATGAGAGAGTTGCCAGATGATATACTGAAAGCTATCGCAATACAGGCTACCTTTTGAAATATGACAAGCTTAACGAATGATTAACTTGACGAAATTTAATAATGTAAGACAGCGAAGAGAGCGAGAGAGAGAGAGAGAGAGAGCATGAGAGAGTTACCAGATGATCTACTGAAAGCTATCGCAATACAGGCTACCTTTTGAAATATGACAAGCTTAACGAATGATTAACTTGACGAAATGTAACAATGTTGCCAATAGATTATTTACTTAAGCGATCGATAAAAGGAAAAAGTAAGGTTATTTACGACACGCCGAAAATTGAATACACTTTCAGACATTTGATGAAACGGGACCGATTCTTTCTATGGAGCTAAAGAAAAAGTAATGTAATCCTGTAAAGATTGGGCTCATATGTACATAAGCAACTCGGCCGTTGATGCTGATCCAGAATATATATGCTTCACGGATTCAGAGATATCTTCTGCTATGCATTACACACCTCATTGTTTCATGACAAAATTCGAATACCCTTTACGCAGGTCTAAAAATATTTACTCAGGCTTTGACTTCTTTTCGATTACTGCCTTTTTCATAATATCGATATATATCGATTTCAATTTATCGTAGCTTGGAGCTGTGAGGGTCGTTAAAGCCATCCGCGGCGGGACTGAGATATTTTATAGATTACCATATTGTGTTTTCTCATAATATCGATAAATATCGATTTTTTGTTTTAAGCATATTTCAGTTTAATTGATCGATAAAGTCATCTGCGGCGAGTCAAAGATAGTTTATGGATTACAATATTAGTTAAAAATCTTACCTAGTGGCAACATTGGCTGCGCATAACATCGATAAATCGATACCTTATGCAAGCTGGATTAATCGGTTATCTATTTTTGTTTTAACAGACCCATCACACCCAAAGAAATCGAGCGCATGGTGCAGATAATCCACAAGAAATTCAGCTCGATACAAATGCAGCTGAAGCAATCGACCTGCGAGGCGGTGATGATATTGCGATCTCGATTCTTGGACGCGCGCCGCAAGCGTCGCAATTTCAGCAAACAGGCATCCGAAATACTCAATGAGTATTTTTACAGTCATCTGAGCAATCCGTATCCATCCGAAGAGGCCAAGGAGGAGCTGGCCCGCAAGTGTGGCATAACGGTGCGTATCGATAAATAGCTATCGATTATGTTTGTCTAATCGATACTTGATTCGAATTGCTGCAGGTATCGCAAGTATCGAACTGGTTTGGCAACAAGCGCATTCGCTACAAGAAGAACATCGGCAAGGCCCAGGAGGAGGCCAATCTGTATGCGGCCAAAAAGGCAGCCGGCGCCTCGCCCTATTCAATGGCGGGTCCGCCCAGCGGCACCACAACGCCCATGATGTCGCCCGCACCGCCGCAGGACTCGATGGGCTATCCGATGGGCTCCGGCGGTTACGATCAGCAGCAGCCGTACGATAACAGCATGGGCGGCTACGATCCCAATCTGCATCAGGATCTTAGTCCTTGAGGATAGGCTTGCCAAAGCTAAAATCACAACAACAACAACAACAAAATCAACTAATAGAAAGTACTTTTTTTTTGTTTTCAATCCAATTTTCTTCTTTTTCTTTCGTCGTTTATCTTTATCGTGTATCGAGCAAATGTGCTGCAGAACAAAACTTAACGAACTTAACGAATGTGTGCGTGAGTGTGCATGCATGCGCGTGCATGTTTGTGTGTGCGTGTGCAGCACTTAACGAAGGTGTGCGTGTGCGTGCGTGTGCAGCACTTAACGAACTTAACGAATGTGTGCGTGCATGTGTGCGTGTGCAGCACTTAACGAATGTGTGCGTGGGCGTGCATGCATGTGTGCATGTACGTGCATGTGTGCATGTGCGTGCATGTGTGCGTGTGCAGCACTTGACGAACTTAACGAATGTGTGCGTGTGCGTGCATGCATGTGCGTGCATGTGTGTGTGTGCGTGTGCAGCATACAATCAATTATGTATACGATTATGTCTTAATTATAACATGAGGCAAATAAGCAAAATGTAAGAAACAACAAAAATGCAGCTAACAGCACAGCAGCAAATATGCACACACACACACACACACACACACACATGCACGCACACGCACACACACACACGCACACACACACATGCACGCACACGCACACCTTCGTTAAGTTCGCACACACACACGGCAACTACTGCATGCACGCACACTGTTATACACACACATGCTTGCACAGTGGTTGTTGGCCTATTGTTTGGCAGGCAAAAAAAAAACTATATATATTTAAAGTTGAATAACTCTTGAATCAAAAAAGTTGTTAAACTATGTTAAATGTCATTTTGGAATGTGTTTTATATGCGATATATTTGAAATTTTGTATGCCTTCAATTTGTAGATTCTTGTATACCCTGACTCTGTGTGTGAATAGCAGGGTATGATGTTTTAATGCACATGTGTGTAACAAGCAGAAGCAATACCTTTATAGCAACTCCTCCCATAGTATATATATACGTATTTACATTTATATATATATATTTGCTTTCCGTGTGTCCGTCGAATTTCGATAAAGAGATTCAGCTTTTTTTTTTGTATTCATATAGAGTACACACAGATCGGGCATATTTCATGCTATCAAAATTTCGGAATGTTTTTTGAACTCTTGACAATTATATCCTTTAGATCTTATTCAAAGATTTTAAGGGAATCAATTAATGTTTTTTTTTAGCTGTTTCCGGCTGCTTTTCTAGCATTTTTATGCTAACTGAAAATTGATGGCATATAAAATTTATAGTAAATAAATGACATTTAAGAGTTTTCAATTTAGTTAGATGTTTATTTTTTTCTGCCCGCCAGCAAAAGGAACGTTGCCAATTCAGCTCTTTTCTGGCTAAATTTGGCTATTTTCAAAGCTGGTCAGCCGTAAAGAGTTGAAATTTCCAACTGATTTAGCTATTTTCTGGCAACTCAAGTCTCCTTAGCTATTTTTGGCTATTTTTTCAATTAAATTCAGCTTTTTTTTTGCAGAACTCACTAAATTCAGCTACTTTTTTTCTATAGCTGAAGTCCTTTGCGTTGCAATATCAAATTAATTCATAAAGAAAAGCAAATAAAACTTAGATTTAATTTTCCAATATGCATAAATTGTAATTTGCACAATTTGAAGCCTGGTTGGAATTTCTAGCTTTTTGTGTGCTTAGCTTAAGTAATGCTTTTTTGTTTTTCATGTATTCTAATCAATTTAAGCCCATTTTTGTTTGGCTTTTACCAGAACTACAAAAAAAACTAACAAGCTTTTTGCGCTTTTATATTAATTGTGAACCTCAAATACGTAAAAAATGAAATGAGCGAAGCGCAGCATAACTTTCTACTAGGCGTTAGTTTAAATAGTTATATATATACATATATATATATTTTTTTTTCGTAGTCAAGCTAAATACAACATTAACACGAACTAAACAATTGTATACTAAAATTAAATTTACAACAACAAAACGCATGTATACCACGAAATACGAACAAATAATATCTATATACACACACACACACACACACACACATATATATATATATGTATACTTGTATACCAGAGGAGCGTATACTAGAGCGTAACTCCCATTTATCATGCCGAACAAAGAGCAAAACTGAAATACTTGATATATATAACATATATTGTATACCAGCAAGCGCAGCGTTTGCCACTGTTATACGCCCATATAACAGTTCAGATTTAACCTAACTTAATTGTCAGCAAGTATTACGAACTATAAACTGTTTATTACACTATTTATGGCAACAATTTCAACAAAAACAAAAACAAAAACACGTAAAACATGTATACGATGTAAATCAAATTTATAACAAACATTTTTTTTTTTGTTTCCAAAACTTGACGGAAGAAGAGTTCAAATACGTTTAATTAAAAAGAGGAAGAAAAAAAAAACTTCTCTTAGTATTCTATGGAAAAAGTATTGTAATATCGAATAAAGTAACAAATACGAAAACTATTTCAGCTAACTGTTAAAACAACAGATCGGTATATATATATATATATATATCTATATATACATCAATCTATATATGGAATACAATTATAATTATTTTAAAATGAAAACCAACAAGAACAATGCTATACTATAATTAAATAAACAACAACAACAAAAAAGTGAACTTGGCTTTAATTAAGTTGACTGCGGTTTGAACTGACAAGCGAGAGGTCGCTGGCTCAAATTAAATAATATTCAAAAGAGTTTAAATTGTTATAAACAACAAATTTGTTGTCTTTGTCTTTATTGTCTGAGAACTTTATTGCTGTCTTTGTAGCGGGAATACCCTTAGTATTTTTTTTTTTTAATTTAGCAGAAAGCGGTTTTTGTCTGTGCCGGCCAACGCCGGGCAATTTCTCTTATAAAATATATTCACTTGCCTCTCTCTTCAACATATTTGGTTTAAAATTTATTAAATTTGTTCTTCCATAAATTACACTAGTTGACTTAAGAAACAAAAAAAAAAAACAGCACAAAAAGATGGAAAAAACAGAAACACAAAAATAAAAAATAAATTTAAAAAAAAAGCGCTGCACTTCAGATCGAATACAAAAGATAAAAGATATATATATATATATATATGTACAAAGAAGATAAGCAACATTATTGTTAGATATATATATATATATGTGTGTGTAGTATATGGTACATGTATCAGAGGAAGTATCACATTGTACGATTTCTTGTAGCTTGAGCCTGAGGCGGCCGGGTGGGCGTGGGCCTAACGCCTGCCTGGACACTTGGTCCAGATTGTGACTGTGTTGTTGTTGTTGTTGTTGTTGGGATTGGTATTAGATTTGTTGGGTCTGTGGCTGGCCCGGCGCGCCGCGTCTCATTCGGTCTTGGCCTTGGCATCGTCGCTGGCATTGCAGGCGCTGCTGGCAATTGGATTGCCATTGCGATAATCGCTGCAGCTGTTGCTGCTGCTGGTCTCGCTGCGCCTGCGTTCGCTTGTCTCTGTGCTGGCATCTCCGTTGATCGCATCCGATATGGCGCTGGTGATGCTGCTGCCGCCGCCACCGACGCTTTGGTTCGAGGCACTCGGCACACAGGCGCAGCCATCGCAGACACGAACATCCGTCTGCCAGCCGCGCTCCGGCACCGGCATGCGCCGCTTGGAGCAGCTGCTGCAGACCGCCTGGCCGCAGCGCCGGCAATGATGCCGGCGGCAATCGCCAGCCGTTGCTGCGGATGCAGCTGCTCCTCCACCACCTCCTCCACCTCCTGCTCCTCCTCCAGCTGCACCATTCGATTTTGAGTGCTTGGCCAGGTGCTGCTGCTTGCTGCGGCCATCCGCCTGCTTGGCCAGCTCCAGCTCCTCGACGCGCCCGAATACAGACTTGCAGATGTAGCAGCTGGGCGATTCGGCATCGGGCACCCAGTACGCCGGCCGAGCGCTGTCCTTGATCATCTCTGGTTAGGGAGGGCATTGGTTTGGATTAGTTTGGCCGTTTTATTTTGGTTTGTATACCGTGTCTACGCTTACCCCTGGGATAGTCGATGGCCACGGCGGCAACGCTGCTGATGGTATTGTAAATGGTCTCGCCATATTTGCGCACCAGGATGTCGCCCTCGTCGTTGGTCGGCCTGGAGCCTGTGCATGCGATAGTCAGATTTGAATTGCAATAAGTAAATGCAGCTTGATCTTGAGTGTGCGCTGTGTGTAACAAACGAAGAAACTTTTACAGACAATCAGGCAGCGACAGCGAGAGAGAGAGAACGCACGAGGAAAGAGAGATAGAGAGAGAGAGAGCGAAGGCGGAGGAGAGCTGGAAAGAGACAGCGGGATTTGGTGCCACGCCACGTTCTAGTCAAAGGAAAGTCCCAGCTTAAGGCGTCCTTTAAATAACATTTTGATGTTAAACAGCTGTTAATAAACATCTCGCTGTTACTTAAAAGTCTATGTTAAATAACTGTTAGCAATTGTGTAGTCTATGCTTAACAGCTGTTAATAGATGTGTCCCCGTTAAGAATATATCTATGTTAAGCTGCTGTTAGTTGTACACTGTTATTCTTATGTAAATTCTATGCTTAACAGCTGTTTACAAAAAGTTTAGCTGTTAAGAATATATCCATATTAAGCTGCTGTTAGTTGTACACTGTACACTGTTGTAAATTCTATGCTTAACAGATGTGAATAAAGGGTTGCCATTAAGAATATATCTATGTTAAGCTGCTGTTAGTTGTACACTGTTATTCTTATGTAAATTCTATGCTTAACAGATGTGAATAAAAGGGTTGCCATTAAGAATATATCTATGTTAAGCTGCTGTTAGTTCTATATTGTTCTTCCATATCTAACAGCTGATAGGTGCTCTTAACTGTTGATGCTGCTCTTAACATTAGTTCGCTTAACAGCTGTTATATGCATAGTACAATCTTCTAGCTCAGTTGTACTTAAATGTTAAATGCTGCCATCCTGTATACAACATTTTTAACATTAAAGGCAGCTCGATAATATTCGACTTATTTCTTGATTGACTGATTGGTTCACGTAATAAAAATCTGACTCAAAAACGAGGCAGCTGAACATAATAATTTAAAGTTAGCACTCAAATGTTAACGTAACAGGAGCTCTATTGGAGCTATTGGGTGGGATCTATTGGATTATTTGTATTTGCATTAGTTTCTTAAGGAATTGTATCCGGACAAGGGAACGAATATTGTAAACAGAGCATAAAAGGCTCACTTTAACAGTTTGTTAACACCAAAGGGCTAACATACAAGCGCGCTGTTAAGCAACAGAGAGGGATAGATAGAGGCAGATAGCGAGTGCTCGCGAGCGCATGAGCTGATTCGT